CTGATCTGAAGGACTACATTTCAGAAGCTGGTTCTTTTGTAGATGGCCATTAAGGTAGGGATAGGAGAGGAAAAAGGGAGGTTGCTTTCTTGATCTGGCGCACTTCAACTTGGAAGGAAATCTCTATAAGCTTTGGAGTCTTCAGGGCCAAAACAAAGTCAATGTTTTCATCACAACCATGACAGCTTTTCTGCTATGAACTCTTGTGTGCCCAACTTCTGTATGCTTGTTCTGTGAACAGTTACCCCCTGAATAGTATTTGGGAACAGAACAGCAAGCTGCCTAGACTGAAGCAAGAAATCTCCAGGGAAAAACGAGACTCAGGTCGTTCTGATCTAAGTACAAGTTGCATTTTTTTATTTTTATGCTAAGGTCTGCTCTGGTATTCCACGTCAGCCAGGGATATATGTGACAGAGAGAGGGGATCAGAGTAGGAATCTGCTGGTCACATTTCTGTACATCAGGTTGATGGTAGAATCATTTGGGAAAAAAAATTAGGAATGTAGCTATGTCCTGCCATAAACACAGGGCAGGATGGATAAACAGGCTACTTCCATGGGAAACGAGCTTTTTCCTCCTCAGGTTGGTCACCAACATGCTTCCCATACAAGTCATGAGATTTCCTTCCTGCCCTGCAAGGCTGTAATTTTGAGCAGCCCAAATCTTTCATTGTTTTTAATTCAACTGGTGGTGTAAGTTTCCCCTGGGGGGGTTGGAAGAGCCGGATGAGACACAGAGAGGCAGTAAAATTTGTACCTTGCACCCTCCATCAGGAAACATTTCTGCCCCACCCCACCAGCCCAAACATAACCATTGGTGAAGCCAGACCCACCTTCACCTTTTTCCACTGTGTAGTGAATGCACAGCCAGGTGGAAGGGGGCTGGGTAGCAAAACACGCCTTAAAAAGCATCAACCTTACCCTGCACCATTTTTTAAAAAGTTGAGTAGAGCAATTGGTCCTGAGAAGCTGATGTGAATATTTCAGGTGAAGGAGCTCTGAAAATCCCTGAGAAAGATGGTGTAGGAATGGTGAGCTGGGAGCACGCCACCTTTGTTGAATTTGCAACAGCTTAGAGCCTCTTGTTGACCGTGGAGTTGGAGCTGCTGTGGGGTGGTGGTCAGCCAGAGCTGATGGCCACAACCTTCATGAAGCCCTCTGGCTGTTGAACTGGATTGACTCCATGGGGCAAGCCAGCAGAGGGATTTCTGGATGAAGGGAGATCTATTCTCTGGCCCCAAACCACCGTACCAAAATAAACGACTGCGCTGTTCACCTTACGGGGAGATTGAGAGAATTCTGCTGGTAGACCAGCAATGGAGGTTTGATGAGGCAAAGAAATCCAGTCTCTGCACGGGGAGTGATGGCAAAAGTTCCGTACAGGAAATGTCCCTTGGAGCTGCTAACCCAGGAATGTAGAGATGAACACGCTGGTGTCCAGATTGAGGGTAGCATGCCACCAGCGGTCAGGAAAATACAGAACCTGGAAGGAAGGAGAGAATGAATCCAGATGCAATGGCTTTGTAGATGCAAAGGGCAAGAAATCTTTGCCTTCTTTCTCTGCATCAGGCTAATCCTCACGCATGGGGACAAGACTGGGTTCGTGTCTCATTCTAAGCCAGTGTTTCTCAAACTTGGCAACTTTAAGACATGTGGACTTCAACTCCCAGAATCCTCCAGGATGGAACCCTGGAGTTCCATCCAACCCTTGCAAGCGTGGAATATAACCCCCAAAGACCTGCTAAATCACAATTTTCATCGTATTGAAGAATCCTCTTCAATATGTTTAATATGAACTTGCGGGCTGATGTTGCTGAAACAGAACCTTGGTTTATGCCGAAGGTGAACCCAGGGTACTGTGCAATGTTTGCTAAACCATGGTTGGACCAATGGAGGCTTGGCGTGGTAGGTGAACTCCGCCTGGAAGCCCAATCTGTACATGGGGGCAAAGGGAAGCGCGTGCCAGCACCCAATGCTGCAGGAACCTGCCTCTCCTGGATGGATGGTGCATTCCACCGGCTTCTTCCATGGTGGCAAGGAAGGGTACGTATCCAAGAACCAGGACAGGGTCGTCTTATTGGGGTGGAACTGTGGCGTTTTCTCTGGAGGATACAGGAACCAGCGCTGGGGACAGAGATCTCAAGCTGTAAGGGACAAACCTGTCCTCCTTCCCCACGGCACGAAATTTTAGTAGGTCCCCTATCCCAACAAGGAGGCATAGAGATTATGGCAGTGTTGTCCAACCTTGGCCACTTTAAGATGAGTGGACTTCAACTCCCAGAATTCCCCAGCCAGCCATGCTGGCGGGGGGAATTTTGGAGTTGAAATCCACTCATCCTAAAGTTGCCAAGGGTTGGAAACACTGGATTTTTGATATCCCCATGGTG